CAACGATGTATTACGTGCATGACAGTGCTATAACAAAAGCTTGGTTAATGGGACAAGCGTGTTTTTTTTTTTTTTTAAACAAAAAATTACCACTACCTTCAGTCGGTCACTAAAAATGCCACACAAATGCTGAAGATAATGTAAAAAAAGATAAAGTGTTCGGTAAAGTCATACAGTATTATATATAAGGCACACCATCTGAATTATTTTCCTCTTCTTGGCTCCTAAAAGCGTTCCTAAATCTAAGCACACGGTAACTGTTTTAAGTGCAGTTTAAGTACCGATGTGTCAAAATTTATGTGATAGGAATATTGCTATATAGTGGCACCACGGCTAAATAAACAAAACTAAGGCTCCTCGCATGATCGGTAAACTACAATGCCGTAGTTGTACACCTACCAACAATGCGCAAATGCATAACCTAGAGCCTTTTCTTCTTTTTCTTTTTTACCACTGAGTCACTATGAAACACTGCATTCACTTGAGCAATTCCAAAGTCTTCATATCTGGGAGGATGCCAAGAGCATTTTGCAATGTGCTTGAAACGGAAAGGGATACCCACTCTGAAGTTATTCTGGTGAATGGAGGGTACGACGACTATAAACAGCACTCTGGAAAGTTGCACCTGGCGATATTATTACAATGCACTAGCAACCGAACAAGGTCAAATGCTTTTTTACGTCGTTTCAGGAATACGTAGAAACAGTTACCCTCGCACTTACATGACCGGACAAACCACAGTTTGAGAAGGTGCGTGATGTACACCCACATGGAAACATGACGTGGCCAGCAGACGACGCACGGAGCAATCCACCCTTCACCACTGTGGCCAGTTGCCGCCAGGCAGCGACTCTGCTTGATCTCGCGGCCAATAGCTGTAGTTTAGCTACCGTATCTAGAGATAATTTTGCAATGCTTTTCGCTGACATGCCATAATTAGTTGATTGACAACCAAAGCTACGACATCGCTGTTACGACAGTGTTCTCGTCGCGTGAAACGTGCACATTCCTAATCTATGAGAGCAAGCACTCAACAACACCCTTGTTTGATTAATCAAACGTACCTGTTGTCAAGTCCAGAGATATTACTACTGCAAACGCACCGTGCCAAAATATCTCGTTTACGTGTGAGGCTGCTGCTGCCCTATGCTGAAGAAAAAATACATTAGCTAAGGTTAAAGCTTGGGAGAGTTTGTTCACATACATATTAAAAACCCAGCGCAAAAAAACGGCAGAAAAGAAAGGAGGAGACAGAACAGAGCGCATTTCGCTGTCCTCACCCTGTCTTGTGTCTTCCTTTCTTTCCTGTCGTTTTTTGCGCTGGGTTTTTTAAATATGAAAAAATACATTGATGGCCATCCTTTACCTGTGTGTTTCAGACGACGCTGAAACTAGTATTTTTACATGATTGTAGGTCAACCCACTTTGTCTTATTTTGAAATTCGTTGTAGGGGTCGACCTAGAATCGAAGACTAGTTTCAGTTGCCAAGTCTTCCTAAAAATAATCTCAGAGTATTTGGGCAAAGCTAGCTTTCCTGCACAGCTTCCAAGCACTGTCATCAAGCCACCTTCACGCATCGATGGCTTTAGAATGGGATAAACCTTTCTTGTTTAATAAATCTGCTTGTGCTCCTCTCTTTTTTTTATGCCATTCTATTTTTGGGAAGTCAACCTACATTTTAGGCGACTTACAATCACGTAAATAGGGTATGTAAGCTTGTACAATGTCTTCACTAAAAAAGGCAGTTTAGAAAAGTTTTTCGATTGGGTAGCTGCCAATCAGTAAAACACGTGCTTGCAGAGGCTTGGCATCACTCTGCTGGTCGGCTGGATGTTCCCACATCTCCCAGAAGCACTTGAGCGCCCACGGGTGGCAGTGCGGTGCTTGAAAAAGGTATATTCTGGTCGCTGTAAAAAGCCGATTTCTAAGTGTGAACTAAGTGTGAGAATTAAACATCACAGCTCAAGCAACAACAATCTCGAAAAAACCGAAACTATCACTGTTACGACGCAACACTATGTTTCAGCCCCATTTTTTGGGCATGGGGCTTAATGGCCGTCAAACCCTGCAGCTAAATTTAGGCGCTGCGGCGCAGTATGGCACAGCGGTAAAACCGAGGTTCAGCGCAGGAAAACAAGTTTGGCTAACAATGGTGCAGCTGTTCCCTCTCTGGAGGGAGGGTGGTTTTAGCAGCAGGTTGCAGGAGGATGTGGGTGCTCCCCTAGTCTGTATAGTATCTTTATCAGCTGGTCTACGAATCAGCTCACATGTGAAATAAGAAAAGCCAAAGCTAAAGCAGAAATGGGAAATGTGTGTGAGCTCACCATCAATTGCTGTAACAGAAAAAAGTTTTCTTGGAATGAGATCACATGCAAGATGAGCAGGGTTTATTGCGTGTGTGAAGGGCATGGAATTAACACTAGGAGACTTATCACCCACCTTTTTTCTTTACATCTGTGTGTATATGGACCAAACCAATACAAGCTACTGTACCATTTCCTTTCCAGAATATGCTTAAAGGGCCCTCGACACCTAATTTGGAAACTCGAGATGCTTGTGTTGTTTGATAGTCCCGCGTGCTGGGCCACTTCTGACCAATTATCAGTGACGAAGGTTGCCTGTAAGACATTTTAGAAGCATGGACTGCTGGGAGAGTTGTTAATTCATCTTAACTGAGTTGCATGAAAAAATTGAAGTACAAAAACAAGACACCTGGACAGAAGGTGCTTCAATTTGGTTTTAAAGCAAGGGTGCAAGCTCATATGAGTATTCAGGTCTAATCGACATTTTCTGTGGTTTGACGTAGACAGGAACGTTTGCAGAGGTCACGCAAGGATTGTCGGCGTCGGGGAACATTTTCGGGGCGTGCATAATACCAGATGAGGACTATTGATCGTCGTTCCTCTTGCTCTGTTGGCTGCTCTCAAGGTGGTTGTCGGCTGCTTCCGCCAAGAATGCCTTGCTTTTTACAGTGAAAGCTGTTACAAGATAAAAACTCGTCATGAGCGGCGGCGGCGGTGTCCCGTAACCACATCGCACGAAATTAGAAGAAAAAAAAAAACCTAGCACTAGTGACACAGTGGGGGCTGGAACCTGGGTCCACTGGGTGCCAATCCAGTATTCTACCACAGAGCAACACCGCTGCTTGTTGGCAAACTTGCCTTAGCCAGGCTTGACGTTGGGAAAGCAATCACGTTAATATGACTTGTAAAGAATTTAAAACAGTGAAAGAACAACTAATCGTCACACAATGCGAATAACGTAACGAGTGGGTCGTCCAATGCTCGAACATGAGCTTGTTCTAGTTCAACTAATAACTATGGTGCATACCCATTTCAAGCACAATTGCTCATCGTCCTTGGCCACTGCATGAACAACTGGCACAAACTTCTTAACAAGTGTCTAGCGGATACCATGCTTCTCATAAGAATGACGAAATATAGCATAGCAAATGCTGGCCTACTACCAAAAAATTTGTATTATTAATGCCGTAGTGGGTATCAAGCAAGTGTGCTTGCAGCACTGACCCAATGAGTATTTAGAAGAGGCTCTGAAACGCCGCTCTTCTAGCTTTCGCTGTGAATGTGCTGCACCTGCTGCGCGGGCCAGGCGTTCTTCTGAGGGAGACCAGCTCGAAGCACCCACATTGTTGCATTGTTCCGACACCCGTCGTAGCTCTCATTTGAAAACAGTACGTTCAGCGTCACTGAAACTGGAGCGCATGTGGCCTGAGGCGCTGCACCACTGTATGGTATTGAGGCAGGTGTTTCAAACTGATGCGAAATTCTTCTCAACAAACGGTGCTAACACTGATTATACAATGCATAGTAGCATTTACTATTCAATTTCTGCCTTACCAGGTAAAAAAAATCGCAAACAAAACTTTCGCTCACAGAGATCCTTTGCAGGGGAACTGACAAAAATTTTGGCCTCGCCTTTTTTTCCCCAGCAATGTGTTCCTGCGGGTCTGTTAGTCATAACACATCTCAAGCAGATGAGAAATTAATTACAGGCTCATTTTCACTGACCAGTTTCGGATTAAAAAAGTGACTAGGTGCAAGTGCAGGTATCACTGCCTAACAGGTGAAATTCTCGACCATGTAAGAACTGTGAAGCACTTCAGCACCAAGAAGTTTTTTGAAACAGAAAACGAGACAGCAATGTCATCAAACGCAAAACTTCGAACTCTTGCGTGCCGCAGCCCCGGACTCGCAAGCAGTTGCCGAGTAATTGTCTGTTGGAGCAAACGGGACCAAATAAAAATGGCGGCCATAACAGGCTGCTGTGTGATCATGTGAAAGAAATAGAGCATGTCAGTGATGTAGCCAATCACTCATGCAAACATCAAAATATATTTAAAGTACCTTCCAAGCTATATGCACTGTTGATACTCTGCAGATGATATACGCATGTTCACAGGAATTGATCCTGGAGGCTATATCAGCAGCTAAACTTCGCATAAGCACGCCTTTTAGGTTCTCATATCGTGAAATTTGCAAAAGTGCTTTTGATGACCTAAATTTGCATTATTTATAATAAAATGTAGGCGATTTATATATTCGGAATCACTGTTCTGGGTTTTAAACACCTGCAGCTGAAGAAAATGTCTAAATTGAGAACAGCGATCAGGACTAACTGCAAGTGTCGAATTCAGCCAGCAACAATGTCCCCCGTGTTCTCGCGACATTGGAGTCCATCAAGGACTATGGCTGAGAGGGTAAAAGGACCGTTTATAATGTGGCCGATGCTAGGTGCAATACTGCGTCAAGCGCTGCTTCGGGAAGAGTGTGGCAGAGGACTGCTGCTGACACAACAATGCTATTGGAACCTTGCTAATTGCAATGTATTGCAAACAGAGCAGACCAGCACCATTTTGACAATCTTGAACCCATTAGCAATTTATATTTATATGTTTCAAGTATCCTTCAAATTAATTTTTCTCTACTAACGTGGCACCTTGAAAGTGCTTGTCAAGGCCACACAAAAAAACAAGGTGGCATAAGTTTCTAGTGGCGTTTATTGTTGCATACAAGCATTACAAATTGCTGTGAGCAAAATCTTTTTTGTATGCACACGTATGCACGCACACATATGCACCCACACACGCACACGCATACATTCACACATGAAAACAAAATTCAGGCTTCTATACAAGTGTCTCAGAACAGCTTTCAAAGTAGTCCTCGGAATAAATCATCGGAATTGATGCACGTGCCCGACACAACAGTTTCTAGTTAATTTGAACATTAGCACATTCTTTGACAAACATTTAACTTGCCACCATGCATCACGTGCAAATTTCGTCCCCAGAACTACGCTCCAATATCTTGCACACATCTCATGCAAACTACACAATACACCTCCAGTGCTGCTGTCAGGTTAATCATGCTTGCATCTTAAACGATGAATCTCGTAGTAAAGGCCATGGCAGACCGGCTTGCAAGTGACGTTCTCAGATATTCTGCTTTTGTAGTGGTAGCAGCACGTATCCAGAGACTTACTTTACAATCCTCGCATGAAATGCTCAAATTCCCATTCAAATTGATAGCTGGATCAAACTGCACCTGGTCAGGATGGCAATTAAAATGAAACGCTGGACACGATAAGAGCAAAGGGTAACATGTTTCGCCTTCTTCACACACACAAAAAAAAATGTTAATCGAGCAGCTGTAGTGCGCGAGCCGAACCATCTTGCGTTTTGCTTTTATTGTGGTCAGCCTTTTTTTTTAATTGCCTTCAGATTTGCTTTCTGAGCAACACCTCAAGCCAATGCCTCATTTTAAGTCTCAAGCCAATGCCTCATTTTAAGTATAATGAACTGGAAAGGTCGCATCACATTAAGGTGCTCTATAAGCAAACATTGGCATAAAATGCAAAGTTCTTCCCAACAAGTGCCATGCCATACCAAATTCATAACCCGGACCAAACGCAGTCAAGCAATCAAGATGCATGCTAGCAGGATGTGCCCTTAACCCTGCTGCAGGGCGTAAGGTCAACGTTGCACTTTCACCTGAATACCTAAAGTGTGCAGTGATAATGCAGCATGTGTCAGTAGCAAGCATGTCACAAAAGTATTTCAACTCTCAAAGTCTTCATTTTCAATAACACTATGCTCTAGGATAACAAAGGTGGAGATGTCACATTAGGCGAGGCAACATGGAAGTCCTATGTACATGGGTGTATATCTACAACTAATATCTTAGCCGGTTTTCATAGAAACAGATAAGGGAAAAAAAAGAAAAGGCACACAGCGGCTCACACAATGTGAAAGTAATCATTTTAAAGGTGAAAGAACCCACGAGGCAGGACCAAAAAAAAAAAAAATGGGCGACTGTCAGGCTCGCCTAAATACAAATGTGGCACTTCAAGAGAGGGCTTCTTTGTGCGCTCGAGGGCACCAAAGCATGACTCAGCTAAATGCACCAAGCTGGCATGCGATATTATCGTTGTAGAAGTTAGGATCTGAAATTCTACAAGCCCTAAAATAGTAGCTTGTGTGTCGCAGCAGTCTCGAATACTTCCAGAAGGGCAGACACAAGCAGAGACATAGACACTGCTTTCACACATTTCGTTTTTCATGTGGAAGCTCTCGACTAATACACAGCTATTCTATATACAACGCACCTTGGTATCCTGCTTTCCTTAAAGCTGTATAAACACTTTACAAGAGAACTGCACTATAGCCAATGAACTTACAGCGCCAGGCCACATTTCTCCAGAAAATTGCAACACAGCGCTCGTGTTGTCCCTCTTTGCCTTCTGTTCCATGCCTTCCATTGACTTTTCTACCAGCACTTTCGTGCTTGCATAGCAACCCTTATTAAAATGCATCACCGAGCTTCATTTGGCATCACCGAGCACTGAAGGGAGCAGCCAGCAGCGAACTATAGAACAAAAAGAGCACCAAACATAGCCTTCAAAAATTATGCATATATATTAACTAAATTTAAGGTTCACATGCCTTGACATTAAATGCTGGCATGCTAGCAAAGTGGCCATTGCTCGCTTCACAAATTTGCGTTGTGGACTTCACTTCTCAAATGCCTGGCACATGCTAGCCACCTCGCTGATAAAACGCCCTCCCATGAGGAGAAAAAAACAAGGAAGAAGTGAAAAAAAGAAGGATAGCACACACAATAAAGAATCGGCAGCAGCTGACACTGAGGCAAAAATTTACAGGGCCTTAATTGCAGACAAACGGCACCGAGTTCCCTTAATCCTTTCTTCTAGAAACACCACTCTTTGATAAATATATTCCAATGCCTGTTAGGCAAGTGTGACAGATGTCCGACTTTTATGCAATGCATCCTACTAAAGAACAGTTGACGCTGCGCTGAGCACTTTCCTAAAAAAGAAACGCACCTAGCACCATTTCAGTGTAACAACTAACCTACGACTATTGTAACCACTGTTTTCTAGTTCAATGCTGTGTAGCTTCGTTACACTAAAGCTGCGTCAGACATGAAGGCAGGTCTATTATACCCCAAAATTTTATACTACTGTCTGGTATTTATTTCATTTGTTGGACAATAAAATTGAATTGCATGCTATCAGGACAAAAGGAGGTGGTTTTCCTCCCGACGAGGTCTGCTCACGCTGGGCATAACAGCAGTAGTGCTTCTAAGACTTTCTAAGCGAACTCATACAGATGATATAGCTTCCTTCTGAAGCCAATTCTCTGGTTTCCAAAAAGACAGCTCGGCGAACCAAGCCACTTTGAAAAGTTTATATCACTTCACTGTCGCAGATCTCACAACACTAGTTTGTTGCCTACACCATTCATACCTTAAGCCACACTCTTTGCTAAAATGCAAGAATGCGCATTAACATGCACTGCTGTGGCCGTTGCCTGGTGTGAAGACAACAGCCCCCTCAAATGCTTAACAACACAGTCGGTCTGCTTTGCACCCTTTTTAGAAAAATGGCCCCTTCACCGTGCGAACAACAAACACTGCTGCAGAAGATGTCAGATCCAGCAATCGTGTTACAAGCTTTGGTGTGCATATAATTAGCAAAAATGCTGCCACTGCTGCTGACGCCATCAATTTGGCTACACAAATGTTCGCAAATATATCGCGTGACTCGACACAAGTACTGCTGGCCATGTGCTGCATCATCTCGTAAAAGGGTGGGCAAGGAACGAAGGAAGGGCCCATCAGTGGTGGTTGTTGAGCTCAGCAGGCAATGATGTGGTGAACGTGGGCGTCTCAAGCTCCTCATGCTTATTCACCTTGGTGTTCTGCTGCAGTTTGTAGTGGTTGATAATGTCCTGGTCTGCAGGACATGACTGGGTAAACGCATCCAGCTGATACATGTGGCCCATGTAGCCCCACAGTGCAGACAGTGTGCGTGGTATGTCGAAGTCCGCAAAGTACTTGCCTGAAACGAGGACAAACCACATCACACACTGCTTGTTCATACTTAAAATGAAGTTGTTGGCAATCGGTACTGCCACACTAAAAATCCAATGCTCAGAATCAAAAAAGGGAATAGAGGTACAGGAGAGAGACAGTGAGTGAAAGCACTGTAATTGTACAGATGCCATTGTCTAGGCTGTCTAGCGCATCATTTTATTGAAGGAAAATCCATATGTGGATGTACAGAAGCTTCCATAGTTAGCGAAAATATGTGCTCCTACTAACTATCAAATGTGCTTGAAGCTGTGTTAGTTCCTTTTGTGTATGTGATCAAAAAACTTCCCTTGCGAAACTCTCGCTTCATCGTAGCGTAAATGCAACAAGATCGAATCCATCTCTTAATTATGGCTTTCTCCTTCATGTTCCTTTAGGTAACCACAAAAAGGGCACCCCCGAAACTTCTATGGCATCAAAGGGCAAACATATCACCTAGACACACTGACAGTGACAGAAGTGACATTTACTTTCGGGAGCATACTTAGAAGCAGAAAAAGTACTGTGTTCAAACAGCCATAAATGTTTTCGAAGCAAAAAAAAGTGTTATTTTGGAGCGTTTTAGGAGTACACCCAAAATTTTCCATACACCGATTGGAGTTCAAAGCATCATTGAAGCATCTTGTAAATATTAATGTTCATTTATATCTGCCAAGTTCAAGGATTCTGAAGCACAAAGACTTACGCACTCCCCTCCCCCTTTTGCAAGCAAAAAAAAATCAGGTTTGCATGGTTTGAAGGGGCCGAACACATGAGGGTAGACAGTAGAAGGTGGGAGTCTTGGGGGGGGGGGGGGGGGGCTGCGCAAATATGAATATTTAATGCAGTTCAAAATTAATTTCAGCAAAAAAAAAAAACTTGCACATGTTTACCTGAGAAATACGTGAACGGACAGGACAGTGCCGCTAGCTACAGGGAAAGCATAGGTCGAAGCTTCGCTTAAGGCCAACTGAAAACTGAATCCAAGGAATGGCCAGAGTACACAGATTGACAGGAACAACGAAAACATTTCAAGCCTTTCTTCATGTCTTTATTTTCTTTAATCTACCGCTGTGATAGCCGCATGCCCGTCTAATAGTCGCAATTGATGATCGCATCGCCGCGACCGTAGTTTCAGGAGTGGCGGTTAGGGAAAACGGTAGTTCTGTTTGCAACCTGCATGCGCTGGCTGCGCATGTGCCTTAAAAATCAAGTTTTTTTTTTTTTGGCTAGTATCACAGCTGCTGCAGTTTCATCTTCAGTATTAGCGGAAAGCAAGGTAGCTTTGACTGATCGAGTGCACTTTCGGAGTTCTGTCAGTTACGCCGTCGCCATACATGATCGCGAGAAGAGTGACCGTGCTTTTGTCCATAGCGGTTGTGGCAAATGATGACCACAATTCTGACAGTGCATCCTACCAAAGCTTTGAACACGCTGCTCTCGGTTTTCATTTGACGGTTTCAGTACTAAAGTTTATACGACCTGCCGCGATGAGAAAAAGAGTGCAGAACATTATAAATTTGACCCTATTGACACAGTGAAATTTGGTTGGGGAACTGAATTCATGTTTGTCGGTTTCGCATCATTGAGACGCTACTGTATGTTTAGATGAATGCCTTATAAGTTGGTTTACAATAAAATGTTATGGGTTCACAAAAAGCCTGACTCTGATTGGGATGTATTTCTGTCACTAAAGCCAGATTACACAAAGAAATTATGACTTCCGGGGGATATTCCTGACAAACCATACGAACTGTAACAAGGGCAGTGGGCATGGAGCTCGAGGATAGAAAAGGAAGAAGACTTGCTGTGATCACAGGATGAAGAATCCGAAAGTGATCCAGGCGGAGCTTAGAGCTGTGACGTCTCACTTTAACAGCATCACAGAGGTCCGCCAGTTCGGCAGAGGTGGTATTCTATGTTTTTCATCGGATCAGCTCTGTGTCCAAGACCTATTGAAGTGCTCGAGTTTCGCGACCAATCCGGTGAGCGCCTTTATTCCCCCGCATCTGGCATGTGTGAAAGGTATTGTTCGCGGTGTCGATGTTAACTTGACCCCGTCTGAGGTATTAGAGATGTTTGCCGTGACTGGTGCTATTTCCGTTTATAGGTGTGCACGACTAGTAGAGAAGCAGAAGACGCCGACTGAGTCGGTAATTGTAACCTTTGCTGGAGCGAATCTCCCAAGCGAAATCAAGGCATGGCCACTAATATACAGAGTGGAACCACTATCACCGCGACCACTCCAGTGTACGAAGTGCTGGCGATACGGTCACACTATTAAAGGATGCAGGTCAGAACTCAGATGCCGAGTGTGTGGTGACAACCACGAAACAAATTACTGCAAAGCTAAAGAAGAGAAATGTTGTCTCTGCAACGAACAACACTGTGTAGATAATCCTGATTGTTCTGCAAAGGCTCGAGAAATGCAAATTCTTGAAATTATAGGGCGTAGGCGCTGTTCTCGACGAGAAGCCCTAGCGGAAATACAGACTAGAACTCAGGGGTATGCCAGTGTTGCAGCACGACATCTCTCGGAAATAAATGGGTCGATTTCCCTGAATATAGCGGAGGCCATAGAAAAGGCCCTAGAAAAAGCCATGGAACGACTGACTTCTAACCTTTGCGATTCTCTATCTCAAATTTTGGCTAACCAGATGACTCGCATATTTGGTACAGCGGGAGAGTCAGGCCTAGTATCCCAACATGTTGAGAGTTCACGACCAATAGCTGACAGTGAATCTGAAACTGCGCCATCGTATTATCAGCCCGCAGGAGCCTCTGCAATAGGCGTCCACAGCCAAAATGAGGAATTTGAAACCGCACCATCGTATTCTCCGTCTACAGCACCCTCTGCAGTAGATATACAGAGTGTAAGTGAGGACAAAGCTGCATATACAATAGATTCCGATGACATGGATTTGGACCCTAGGTCCCTGAAGAGATCTAGATCCCCTGTGTCAAGGAAAACAAACTCACCGAAACAAACAAAGAACAAAAAGTATCTGAAAGAAAAGGAGAGCCTTTCAAAGAGGGATTTCTTGAAAGAAAGCATTCTAGAGAAAGCTATAGCGGAAGCAGCTCTTTCGAAACCATAGGGTCGCTTAAGATTCTCCATTGGAATTGCCGATCAATCCATTCTGCATCTACGGATTTGGTATACTTGACTTCTAAATTCGCTCCTGATATTATAGCATTACAAGAGACATGGCTATCTGTACATAATTTGTTCCATTTAAATAACTTCCAATCTTTTCGATTAGACCGTCCATCAAGAGGTGGGGGTCTAGCTCTCTTTATTAGTAATAGAATTAGTATGAAAGTCAAATGCTCATACAAACATATGTCACCAGAATGCGAAATTTCGGCAGTAGACATTACACTGCCCAACTGCACTCCTTTCACTTTAGTTAATATGTATTTTCCGGATGGAGTTCAAGACACACGAAGTTTGGATCTAGCTACAAAATCGTGGTGCAAAGACAAAGTTTTAGTTGGAGACTAATTCCCACCACACGAGTTGGGGTTTTAGAACTGATCTTAGTGGGAAACGCTTGTGGGAGTGGACAATGGCCAATGACCTGAAGTGCCTCAACGTCAGAACCCCCACATTTATTCGTAATCACTCCAGGTCAGCCTTAGATTTAAGTTTTGTCAGTTCAGCCATTACTACTTCTTCTTGGAAAGCGCTGGACTGTGGCACCAACAGTGACCAGTTATCGATAAGTTTTGAAATTTCTTGTCCGATAATTCCATCTTGTTCAATGTAAAAGTATTTGTAAATTACACTAAATTTAGGAATGATCCTGAAGTCAGCACTGGCTTTTCACTCAGAAGAGGAGCGATGATAAAAAAGCACTGAAAATAAACGCAGTCATTAAACGATCCTACAAAAGAGCCGAATTACTGTTGAATCACAAAAAGAGTATATAGCCGTTGGTGGAATGATGAATGTACAAGAGAGCACCGACGACGTCAGGCAGCTTGGAAGCAGCTCTTACATAATCAATCCCCCCAAAACTGGGCCGATTATAAATTCATTGCTGCGGGCTTTAAAAGAACGGTAGCTCAAGGCTAAACAAGATTATGACAGAAGACATTATGAATACCTGTCGAAGCCTAAACATATGAAAGCACTGTTCCGATATATGAGAGCTCGGAAAATCTTGCCATCACCAGTTAATGTAGCTTGTGATAATCTGTCGGCACAAGAAATGACCACTACCTTAGAGGCAATCGGTAAAGGTCTGCAAAGCAGATTCACTTCAGTAGTGCCAAAGAACTGGCACAAGTCTATGACAAAGTCTGACTTTGAAGAAGTGACACAGACTGAAGTATCCAACGTGATTAAACATTTACCCTGTGCATCTCCTGGCCCAGATGGAATCACAGTACCCATGATTAAAATTCTGTTCAATTTATCGCCTCGAGACGTCGCCAATGTTATTAACTACTCCTTAAAAAACTCATGGGTGCCGCAGGATTGGAGGATAGCAAAGGTGATTCCTATACTAAAAAATCCGGGTGGAGGATTAACAGTCAATAATATCAGACCAATCTCTCTAACATCTAACATGGTCAAACTAGTAGAGAGGATCCTACATAGCCGAGTAAGTATCTGGATGGCAGACAATTTAGTAATAAAACCGAACCAAATCGGCTTTCGTAGTGATTTCTCAATTTGGTGTGCCCATGCTGATTTAGAGAGCCGAATACAGCTCGCGCGTAAAAGAAGGCAATACGCTGCTTTAGTAACGCTTGACATAGCCAAGGCGTATGACAGTGTGGAGCACTTCATATTGTTAAATACGCTAGAGAGATTGAACTTCCCACAATATTTTATTGAGTGGGTGGCAGAATTCTTAAAATCAAGAGAATTCTACTGCGTCAAGGATGGATGTTCCTCATCTAGATTTAAACAAACGCGCGGAGTTCCCCAAGGAGCAGTCTTATCTCCAATATTATTTAATGCTTTAATGAGCACAATTC